GGGAGGGAGGGAGGGAGGGAGGGAGGGAAGGAGGGAGGGAGGGAGGGATTAGGGAAGGAGGGAGGGTAGCAAACGGAGCCACCAATTAACTTTTAGGTAATATGCCACCTGAGAGAAAATATTCACAAGCCACTTTTTAGAGAGCTTTCCATTGCCATGACAAATACATAAGAAAACCAATTTATAAAGAAAAAAAAAAGGTTTATTTCTGTGTAGCATTGGGGGGGGTTTCAGTACATGGTTGAAAGACTCAACTGGAGTCTGTTGTGAGGCAACACGTCACAGCAGGAAGCACGCAGTAGAAGAATATCTCATAATTGCAAAGCAAAGAAAGAATGGTGAAGAGACCCATGGGCCAGGCCTGCAAGGACCTCCTACTAGGCCCACCTCTAAAAGTTTCTATAACCTTCCAACAGCACCACAGGCTGAAGAACAAGACTTTAACACATCTGTCTAGATCCAAACTATAGCATCACATAGCCACCAAAGACCTAAGATCTAGAATGTGTTTTTGAAATCTCAAAAAATAATAATAGGAACAGGGAATTCATTGGGTAACTTGACACACAAGAATAATGATCTGAGTACGGCTCTCTGGATCCCATGTAAAAACTGGACACCATGGCACATGCTTGTGATCCCAGTATTCCTATAAATACTGGGAGGTAGAGATATGAGAAGCCCCTAAACCTTAGAGGCCAGGTAGTCTGCAATAGGAGAAGCATGGCAAAACAAGAGAGATTCTACCTCAACAAGACAGAACACCCAAAAGCTGTCCTCTGACCTCTACATGCATACTGTGGCACAGAACATGTAACATTGTATGTACATATACACAAAAATAAATGAACACATTTTTTAAATCAACAATAAATAACAAACATGATCAGACATTTCACCAAAAACACAAAGATAGCTAATAAGTACACGTTTAATCCCTAGAGAGCTGCCCTTAGCCTGTCTCATTACTGTTTAACCAAACTGTTCACTTCCCTGATACCATCCCCAACGCCTCTCACGTTCCTTTTCCCCTGCCCCAGTCCTGTCCTCCTACACACAGTAGCCTAGCAAAGTACTCCCAACCCTTGTGCAAAGTCAGGCAACCTGATTTGGTCCTCACAGACTATTCCCATCTACACTATGCTGTGAACCTCATCTTAGTATCCAGAGGAAGCCAATCCTGGACACTTAAATTGTCCCAAGTCAGGCAGCAGCTGATAAATGAGGCAAGGTGGTAAAGAAAAGAAGGGCTTTCAGCCCTACAAAGAGGGCTAAACACGGCTGGGTACAGCAGGGTTCTTTCCGCTACTGCCCTCATCAAGCTGCAGAGGCCACAGGCTTCTTCCCCCTCTCTTGTTCTCAAATCAGCAAGAAATGGACTAATCTGGGGTTTTCTATTCTGTAAGCAGCAAAAAGCTTTTAAATGAGTGTTAAATGTGCTGTTGCTTAATGGCCAGCAAACTAACCTCTAGTTATTTCACTATGGAATTTGGTAAAAGTCAGGGAGTATGGCTGGTTAAGTGCAGAACAAATTATCCACTTCAGAGAAGGGAAAAGTTAGTGTGGGGTGGTGGTGGTGGTGGTGGTGGTGTGTGTGTGTGTGTGTTTGTGTTTGTGTGTTAAACTCTGTGTATGTATGTGTTATGGAGTTTGTGTTGTGGGGTGTATGTATATGTGGTATGAGGTCATGAGGGGGTGTGGGGGGAGATGTGGGGTTGTGTGTGTATGTGTGCTATGGAGGATGGGAGTAGGGGTGTGGTGTGTGTGTATTAAACTCTGTGTGCGTGTTATCGGGTTTGTTGTGAAATATATGTGCTGTGAGATATGTATGTGTGTTTGATGTGGGTGGTACCTGTATAAGAACTGGGAAAAGGAGTGTGGTGTGTGTGTATCTCTGTGTATATGTGTGTGTTGTGGAGTGTTTTTTATGTGTGTGTTGTGTGGTTATATGTATATGTGATATAAGGTGTATGTGAGATGTGGAGTGGTGTGCGGGTTGTGGGATAGGGATTTGGGATACAATGCGTGTGTTTGTGTGTGTGTGTGTTGTGGCATTTATTTTGTAAGATGTTATATGTGTGTGTGTAGTGCATATATATGTGGTGTGAAGTATGTGTATATGATGTGTGATGGAGTAGGGTGGGATAGAATGTATGTGTATGTTGATGGAGGTATGTAAGGGGTGGGTGGGTGGGTGTGGTGTGTGTGTGTGTGTGTGTGTGTGTGTGTGTGTGTGTGTGTGTGTGTGTGTTCCACAGGGACAGATGTACCCAGAATGGAAACAGTGGAGGGTGGAGGCCTTCAGGATTCTTTGAAACTCCCAGGTGGAACCTAGGTCCTACACACATCCTGCATGGACTTTTCCTGCCCAGCTGGGATATCCTGTGTTTGTCGAAAGGACTACACAGGGAAGCCGTAACCATTGTCCTTCCTGAAATCTGCTCGTGTACACCTCCCCAGACTGAGGCAGCCGCCCCAAGCAGAGGAAGAGTGACTTTGGAAATGCGTTATCAGCATCCTCCATGGATTTCCTCCCCTCCTGCCCAGCCCCATTAGCTGCTAGCTCCTCAGCATCCTCAGACAGAAACCTCAGAGGCTGGGATAGGGTCATCATCCTGAGGCCGGTTGCTTTGGACAGTTTCCTTTCTGGTCAGGCCTGGCCTCTTTTTGTGCAGCTCTGAGTGTACTGCTGAACACTACAGCTGCAGCACAGAGAGCAGGATGGAGTTCTTAGCTGGAGCAGAGACTGCCGCCTTCAACCAGCGCTGGCCAGTTCGGCTGCTGCTGTGGGTCTCAGCCCTAAGCTGTTCTTTCTCCTCGCCAGCCATTCTCCCTCCTTCTCTGATACCCCGAGTCAGAAGCAGCTACACTCTGGGAAGGACGTTCCTCGGTCTTGACAAATGCAATGCCTGCATCGGGACATCCATTTGTAAGAAGTTCTTTAAAGAAGAAATAAGGTCAGAATTGCCATCAAATAACTCTGAGGAGCAATTTGAGCTTCTCTTAGTGTGAAGATATCTAATTTATGGGTTGGAACTAGAGGAAGGCATTTAACAGTGGTAATGACTTGACATAGGAGGGTAAGAGTGGAAGCCAAATTCCAGCCCTAAATGCTAAAGTCGAAGTTTCCTTTTGAAATTGAAAGCTGAAAATTCTTTTCTATGACTGGAGTAGCGTGAGACTGTTAAGGTTTCCTACTCAATCTTCATGATGGGAAGAATAAAATATATAGAAAGCAGACATTTTAAACCATCTCGATCCTGGGTGTTGACAGTTTGCACCCATTATTCAGATACTAAGCAGATATGGCAGAATTAAGGGACTTGCCCAAGGTAAGCCTGGGATACAAACAAAGACAGTTCGCTCCAATATTTCAGAGCCTGTTTTCTGTTGTGTGATACTGATCTGAGGAAAATCAGAGTTTAGTTCACTGTGATGAACGTGGGTCTCACCAAAAAATGGCATTCATGCCTATTAGCACACAGTCATGGAGCGTTTAACGAGGCTAGGAACCAGCAGAGACCAAGTGGGAACAGCCACCACAACTTTGCTCTTTTCTTCTAGGTGGTCAGGAGAAGAGACATTACAAATAATAGTGAGGTTTGGTCTGATGCAGGCCAGAGTACAGGAGTGCCAGACAAGGGACACTGATTACAGAGAGAGATTTCCTGGGGAGAGGATCCTGAGCAAGGTCTTACAGGATAGACTGGGGGTTTGGGGAAGGGGAAGGCAGAGAGGCTTTCTAAACAAGGGTGGAAGTATGGGAAGAGATGAAAGGTGCTGTGGCTGAAGCCCTGGATATAGGTGGATATGGACAGAGACGCCTGGAATGACATGTGAGATACAGTCCCTTGAACGCTAGGCCAAGAAATGGGGAACTTAGCTCAGGAAGCAGTGGCTCCTAGTTTTTTCAGCACCAAAGACCTTTTGTTCTACACTCTTTCTCCCCGCCCCCCGCCCAAAAAAAAACCTAACCTTCTGCCTGTAAGATTCTGTGACCAAACAAAAGATATAAGCAAGGATGAAAGGATATGCAATCTCTCTATTAGCCAAAGATACCTGTGATTGTTACACTAAATTACAAAAAAGAGACAGTAAACAGAAAAGTTCAATCAAAAATATTTAACTTTTTTTTCTATTTTTTGTTTTTTATTACTACATATTCATTATACAAAATAATGGGCTTCCTTATGACATTTTCATTATTATGTGCCTTAATGATATTTACCCCATTACTTTTTCTTGCTCCCCCTTTTCCCAATACCTTTTCTCTTCTCAAATAGTCCCTCTTTATTTTCATTTTATATATTTAAAAGAATGTAGCTTCTACATATGAGAAAAATGTGACATTTGTTTTCTGAGTCTACCTTATTTCATTTAATATGATGATCTTCAATTTCATCCATTTTCCTAAAGATGATATCATTTTGTTATTCTTTATGGATGAATAAAATGTGTGTGTGTGTATGTGTGTGTGTGTGTGTGTGTGTGTGTGTGTGTGTGTGTGTGTGTGTGTGAAACAGAAAACATTAAACTTCATTTTTATGTTACTTTATTTCATGTATATGAATGTTTTGCCTGCATGTGTGTCTGTGCATCAAATGCATGGCTGGTACTTGAGGAAGCCAAAGCATGGTGTCAAATGCCCTGGGACTGGAGTTACAGACAGTTGTGGCTGCTGGGACGCTAACCTGGGTCCACTGGAAAAGTGTTCTTAACCCCTGAGGTATCTCTCTAGATCTATTAAACTTCTTTTTAAGAAGTTTTAGGGAGTTTATGTGAACTTTTGCTATTAAGGATTTTTGGTTTCTCTTTTGTTCTTCCTGGTGATTAAACCCCAGGGCCTTTCAAACGCCAGCCAAGTATTCTACCACTAAACTATTTTTCCAGCCCTCTCTATCAAGCCTTTTGTAAACACTTCGTGAAGGTTGCAAAGTTGAATGACCCCTAATTAAGACTGCTCTGTTGCAGACAATAGGGAAGATGTTAAGCTGGGAGATAAAAATCCATGTTTCAGGGGGATCTCACAGGAAGCCATAGGCAGGGTGGCCTGGGGTTGCTCTGAGGCACTAAAGAACCAGAAGAGAGGTCACTTCAGACAAAAGAGGGAGGAAAGGAGACATCTGGATTCAGCTCTGTGTTCATTTTGCTAACTGACACAATGTGAAAGAAAGTAATATAAATATGGAGATGTTGAATTTGAACTCAGAAATTCTCACCTAGGAAGTGGAGTGCAAAGAACAAAGAATATAGTGAAGTATGCTGATTACTCAGAGAAAGGAGCGGTGAGGATATAGATCTAGTTTAAGCTGGAAAAGAAAGAAACTGCAAGATTCCAATAAGGAGCTCTAGGCTCTCATTCTCCTTCATCAAGTTTAAGATGTTTTTCTTGCAACGCTGTTTCACACAGGAAAACATCAAACAGGGCAGGTCCATGAGGTTACAGCACTCTATGCTGAGAATGCTTAACCTCAACATAAAGGGGCAGAGAGGACCTAAGGTTATGGACCTACTTATCATCTGTCTCACTACCTTAGAAATAATTTTCTTTTATTATAAGCACAGTAGTTACTTATTTCAGAAATATTAAGAAAAATTCAAAATAAAAATCATATATAATTCATTCTCAAGTAGGTTAGAGAGATGGATCCATGGATAAAGTGCTTGCTGTGAACTTGGATTCGCAGCATCCACACAAAAATTGGACATGGCTATGTGGGCTTGTAACTCCAGAACTGGCAAGTGGTAACAGATGGATCCCTAGAGGCTCTATTAAAAAATAAATAAAATGTAAAAATAAAAAAGCATAATCTTAGTATTGGGAAGGCAGAGAGGGGCAGGATCCTAAAGCTCATTGACCAGTTAGCCTCGGTGAACCAGAAAGCTCCAGCTGTCTCAAAAAAGAAAATGGGGAGTGATTAAGAAAGGCACCTGACATCAACCTCTGACCTTCACACATACATACAAACAGGAGCATCTGCACCCAAATATGCATGTGCACAAACACACACACACATACACATACACACACACACACACACACACACAAACATCCAATCATTCTTATATATTCTTTAGGGACTTTAATAGTATGTGAAGAATATTTGTTCACATGATTAATATTCCACATAATCTGATTTTTAAAAGCTTCATGATATTGAGTTCCATCAAACAACTATAATATATTTAACTAACCAACAACCATGAGACAATGGGATTTTTTTTCACTTTTCATCATTATAAACAGTGATGTGTCAAACATTACTGCACCAAGATCTTGTGCATCTCTTATTAATTCCCTGTGACAAACTCTTAAATATGGTATATTTGGATGAAAAAAACTAATTTTTAGGATTATATGTGTATATATACATTTTTATATCTTTAAATGAGTAATTGTAACTACAAAGATCATTTCTTACACATTCACAAATATTTGTTTTGATATTACTAATAATAATATATTAAATTATATATATTATTACATATATTAATACTACATAATAATACACTAGAGAAAATAATACATGTATATTGTATAAGCTAGATCTATTAATATTTGTCCATATTATGTATGCAAGGGGGAGGGTACTTAGTGACAGTGTTTTAGAAATATTGACAGAGACCCAAAAAATGTGATTTGTGCAAGGGTCAACAGTGACTTGGTAAGACAAAGCAAGTTTATAAGGGGAACAGCAGATAGTGGGCCTAGAAAGATCATAGTGAAGTATGTTAAGTAACATGACTATATCCTAAGAGTTTTGGAAATTTAATTTTGTGTGGTCTATTTATTTATGGAATATATATTATTAATATCAATCTTTCTTTAGCTTGAATTTCCTCCAAGCTTTTTTTCCAATCTGATTTTTTCGGATTTACTGGCCCTTTGTGTTTCTTCTTTGTTAAGCTGCAAGTTCACGTCTTTTACATGTCTCTGTCTGTCTCTGTCTCTCTCTCTCTCTGTCTTTCTGCCTCTGTCTTTCTGTCTCTGTCTCTGTCTCTGTCTCTGTCTCTGTCTCTCTGTCTCTCTGTCTCTCTCTCTCTCTCTCTCTCTCTCTCTTTCTCCTCTCCCCTCTCTCTCCCTCCCTCCATCTTTTGCTTGCTTGCTTTGGTGCTGAGGATGGAACCAGGGCTCATGGCATACTCAGAACATGTTCTATCTCCAAATATTATGGCCTCCCTCTCCTCTACCTCTCCTGGGGTAGTTGTTCATCTTGGTCTTTTTTTTTATTTTATAATTTATTTAATTTTACATATCAGCCACGGATTCCCTTCTTCCCCCCTCCCCCCCCACCCCGCCTTCCTCCCAGTCCACCCCACATTCCCATCTCCTCCAGGGCAAAGACTCCCCTGGGGATTGAGTTCAACCTGGTAGATTCAGTCCAGGCAGGTCCAGTCCCCTCCTCCCAGGCCGAGCCAAGTGTCCCTGCATAAGCCCCAGGTTCCAAACAGCCAGCTCATGCACTGAGGACAGGTCCAGGTCCCACTGCCTGGATGCCTCCCAAACAGATCAAGCTAATCAACTGTCTGACTTATCCAGAGGACCTGATCCAGTTGGGGGCTCCTCAGCCATTGGTGCATAGTTCATGTGTTTCCATTCGTTTGGCTATTTGTCCCTGTGCTGTTTCCAACCTTGGTCTCAACAATTCTCGCTCATATATACTCTCCTCTTTCTCGCCAATTGGACTCCTGGAGCTCCACCTGGGGCCTGGCTGTGGATCTCTGCATCTGGTTTCCTCAGTCATTGGATGGGGTTGTTGTCTTATTGTTGTGGCTAGAACTTCAAGTACTATATAGAATAAGTATGGGGAGAGCAGACAGCCTTGCCCTGTTCCTGATTTCAGTAGAATTGCTGTGAGTTTCTCTCCATTTAATTTGATGTTGGCTGTTGGCTTGCTGTAAATTGCCTTTATTATTTTTAGGTATGCTCCCTGTATTCCTGATCGCTCCAAGAACT